AATTGCTGCTCGACCTATCTTGACAAAAAAAAATGTTACGAATCTTGAACCTGCAGTTTTAAACAGTACTTTGAACTGTAGATATTAAGATGATAAGTTGTCTCGTCATATAATAATTGATAATGAAACAACATATTAATCCCTCGTACCTGCTTATATAACAGTAACAGTTTCTCATTCATGTGAAGATAACTCGTCCTTGTCGTATAAAACGTTTTCGTCTAGATATAAAAATGTTACAACGTAATAAATTCATGGTTGCATAACTAATAATGTAACCAGTCATTTTAACTGCAGATCCAACAATAACACTGACCACTAATCAATATGTTACTTCTAATTTATTTTCAGAATGTCAACATAACTATTTATTTTGTCACTTCCAGCTTACGCCATTGACAGAATTAATCAGTCTGTTATCTTACATTTATCTGAACGAAGTTAACAGAGTTAACGATCCTGTTACCACACACTTAGCTGTACGCTGTTAATAGAATTAATCAGTCTGTTATCTCACGTTTATATGTATACTAATAACAAAACAGAACAGTATATTACTTCACTTTTAGTTTCACCAGTATTTGAATTCTATGAACAAAATAAGACCACTTAGTCTCAAGCTGTTAACAGTATTTAACAATATATCTTTCACGCTGTTTACGGAATATGTAATTGTATTTTTCTTCTACCGTATCATATTATGGGGATTTTTTTTGTAATTCTTTATTCGAGTAAAAGACACCTCACGGTTTACTTAACATATAATACCTGGAAATTAAGAAAAATGTGTTTCTCATTCATTACAATGATGTATTTAAATTTAATATTAAAAAATCATTGTTCGGAATATATACAAAATTAATATACCAAAAAGAAAGTTGGATTTTTTTTTATTATTTGAGGTAACAACAAAATTCAAAACAAAATATCTTCTGAAGGCTTGTAAGTTTTATTTAAATCAATTATTATTTTTATTACATTTTTATCATTGTTATTTATGAATGTGTTTATTTCAGGTTTAAGAACTGACCCTGTTTTTGAGTAAAATAACAACTCCTAAAAAGTTCATTCTGTTTAATTTCTTCGGACTTTTGTCTTTGGGGCTTTTTGAAATAAAAAATCTACCATAACAAACCAACGGATCTTCAGGAACTAAAACTTCGTATCCGTGATGCTGTCTTATCCATCCTTACAGCTATGTTGGAAAATATATTCTCAGAATTGGATTTGTTTGTTTGTTTGAATTTATGCATAATGGGCTACCTGTGCTCTGCCCACCGCGGGTATCAAAACCAGGTTTCTAGCGTTGTAAGTCCGCAGACATATCGCTGTGTCACTGGGGGCTTCAGAATTTGAACACAAAATTAGATTGATTAAAGCTAATGATGGAAGACGTATAAAAGTTCATTAATTAAATTAAGTTAAACTTACAAGCCTTCAGAAGATATCACTAAGCACGATAGTGCTCAGTATGTAGGGATAGACCGAGAAAAATGGCCGTCGCATTCAATCTATGATGCTTGCGACTACTAAAGTTAAGTTATAGCCTTATTTGAGCACCTAATTGCCAATTATCAAGTGTTTCACAGCTTGTATAACAGTAATATTATTCTGTTCTTCTACTACATGTATTTTTGCGGGGAAATAATAAAAAGGAAAACTATTACTTAGCATTGAGCTCAGTTTGTAAGCATATATTATTTCCTTGTTTCACAATTAACCGTTTCATTTTTGGTTGCTAGATGGCAGCACAAATTGTTCTTATGTAACGACCGTTTGTGACATCATTCCACAAACATATCTGCTAAAACATTTTCCGTAAAATAAATGAATAAAGAATAATCTAAATTGATATTCAAAGTACCAAAAAGACCAAGTACTTATGCAACTGACAGATCTGTGTACGTGTTTTTGATGTCTAAGTTCAAAAACACTAGTTTCTTAGTTATCAAAACAATACATTATATAGCTGTCTGCTTTTCTTCAATTTTCAGTGGTGCCGAGCCTGGCAGCTGTGTGTGTATGTATGATATCACATTTCATGGCCTGGGATCTGTATGATGTCCTCCCTATTTATCCTATCATGTGATGGAGTAGATTGTGTGCACATGCAGTGAATTGGGGTGAAGTTGGAAGGCTTGGGTTCTGTCAATATCCCCTTAACGTCGTTCTAGCGGTCCAGGATACTTGTACCGTCCTGGAGGAACCATTCCAACTTCACTGGTCCCCAATGTAATCCAAAATTAGAGAAACTGATATGATATTAACAATATTTATTACCATTGAATTATAAAAATAAAACAAATGTTCACTTATCAGCCTACTTCGGTGAAATTATTTTTTTAAAGAGGAGAAAGAAGTAAGTAAGTAAAAAATATATCAAAAATTAAGTATGATGTAGGGATGGCAATGCCAAAAAGTACAGAAACAAGGTAGGGATGAATACACAAAAACCATAAAAAATCCCTTCATAAGTAGAGTCAATCTTACAAGCTTATGGTTATTAGCTACTGTATACCACAATTCAGTTTAAATGCTTTTATTCAAACCTTAATTCGTGCAACTGACAGAAATTCAACATTTAGTTGTAGACAAAAGTTATTCTTGGAAAGACCTGTCTACTTATGTGGTGATTTTTATATGGTTTTATCAACTTATCCCTACCTTGTTCATGTACCTTATGGCATTGCTATCTGTAGATCCTACTTAATTTTGCAAATTTTTTATTGCTTGTCTTGTTTTGAATTATGTTATCTCAAATAATAAAAAAGTTATTCAACTTTATTTTTGGAATATGCATTTTGGGACACCCTATAGATATATCACATGTGTCTAACGTTGTTAAACGTAGGGTGGGGCATGTGTAAGGAAAAATTGGCAAGCAGACAAGGCAAGGAAATGTTTTGCTAAAAAATACTCAAAGTGTGGTGGCAGAAGCTACCTCTACCCCCCTGGTTAGGCGTTTATGGTATTTGTATGTTCGTGTATATATATATATATTGAGAGAGAAATAAACAATCGCAATGCGTTTTTTTTTATAAGTCATTATATATTAACCAAGTAAATGGCAGTACGTTAACAAAAACAGGAATTAATTTCATTGTTTAAATGGTGCAAAATAGCTAGTTTGAACAAATTATTTTATGCTAACAAAAAATGCACTTACGCGGTATCTCTTAACGTTGTCACGTGACTAAAGATAAATGCTGTTTTTTTTAAACATTTATTTGCATTGATAAAAGAAATTACATATCTTAAATAACGTTTATCACGATATGTATGCATTTAAAACGAATTCTTATGTACACAAGTATCTTTAAAACACCTAAATTACTGATGAAATCGTGTTGAGTTGAAAAACTATGGTTAGAAAACGCGTCCGTATTCATAAGTTGTGTTTACTTTTTAGGGCTCAAGATTACAAGTACAATCTGATTAATGTCGAACTTCTAAGGCCGACCTTTAGGCGTCTTTTGCTCTAACGTGACAACAGCGTTCTAGTAAGTTCTCAGTATCAGATACCGGATGTAGTGTAGTGTTTGCAAAGCGTGTGTTTTCTTGGGAAAGCAACGTTGAAAGTACTGCCGCTGACCTGTTTTGCGAATACCTGGAACTTTCTTGCCTTTGCTTCTTTACTGTAGAACACTAATGTCTGCGTAAGGTAATTTCACTCTAAAAGCTGTTGTTTGCTGGAGGCCATTAAACTAGCGTCTGCTTTATACTTTCACATCAAAACTGTTGTTTGCCGAAAGTTATTTGTATCAGCCTGAGTGCAGTGTATGCATTCTAATTATGTATATATAATCCAGACGTCTCATTGTTCAGAAAGTGTTTTTTAACCAATGAAGGTGAATAGTCAATTGCAATCTTACAGCTACAATCTATCTATGAACACAATACACTGAATAGAATGTTATTTAGTCGTACTGTAATAGTGTAACTAAAGATAACTGTTAAAATGTTGATTCTGTATCCTACGTTACCCAACTTTGTGAAAATGTTAGGATTAGAGGACACCACACACTTTCCAATGATTGAATTTCAATGTATTGACACTACTTATCAAGCCTATTGAGCATATTTTGAAACTGACTGGTAAAGTCATTGAAACTGTAGCAATGATATACTAAATTTCTCCGTGGACCTAATTTTTATATAACTGTACAAATACAGCAGGTTTTCTTTTAAGTTTGGTTCTCCAGGGGTGTTCGGGAATTGGCAATTCCCATTTACCCCGCTCACGTAAATATGAGTGTTGCGTAGTGGGGTAAGAAATAACTAGTGAATCTGAATTAGCCGTGGAGACAAGCCCATGAATCGAGGGGATAGCGACAACGAAACACAAACAGCCAACAGAACAGGGTAGTGGGAATCAGTAAATCCTCTTGCTGTATAATTTGATATGGGGAGTCAAATGTCTTAAAAAAACATCTTGAACTTTTAATTCTAAATGAATTTTAATCTAGATTAATTATTTTATTGTATTTTAATCTGGCTCATTTGTTATAAATTTATCTTCAGATTATTCATTGCTCAAATATAAACAACAGAAAGCTTTTCCCCTATTGACAAGCCCTTCTGTTCTAAAGTTCTTGAAATCATGTATAAATAAATACTCAAGGATCCCAGCCACCTGTAGCTTAGAAAAAGTTGTCAATCACCAAAGTTCTTGGTCTTCACAGCTGAACTATAGCATTCCTGATGGAAACTTAGGCTGGGAATCCTTGGAAAATATAATCAAAATAAGTAGTTTGTTTTAAACTAGTACCTCTTATTTGTGATCCATAAGACCTGGCAATAGATAATGGAAATCACCCCAAACTTGTAATCTATTGCATTACATTCATATACTGTTTTTCTGAGATACAGTTTGATACTTTTATTAGAATAACAGCAGATCATACCTAAGAAATATCAATTTAACACAGATCTTGGGGAATTTTATTTTAACTCTCTATTTTCCAGCTAACACTCAGTGTTTCTTATTCATTTTTCTTTAGGTTTGCAATTGCTGATACAGCCTACAGACTTATGCGAGAGGAATGTTGTGACCAATGTATCCTGATATCTGGAGAAAGTGGAGCGGGAAAAACAGAAGCTTCAAAAAAAATTCTCCATTACCTAGCTGCTGCTAGCTATCATGCTAAGCAGGTGGAACACGTTAAAGACAAACTTTTAAAATCAAATCCTGTCTTAGAGGTAGTGTGGGATTTAGTCATTTATTGAAGTAAGATTGCTTCCTGAATCACTACAGAGTAATTAGGAAAGCCTTAAAATCTTAAGAGTTTTGACCACTCTTTGTCAGCCAGACTTTTACTTCTCAGTGTAGTATTAGACTTTAAAAATTTATAATTTAGATTTTAATTTAGTATAAAATTGCCAACACATAATATATTACTAAATTATTTTTTCATAACAAGTTCGTAGTTATTATTAAACAAAATTATCAATCACATGGTGTGAGGGTAAACCCTGTGGCAATGCTCTTAATTTTATGGCTAGCATTCTAAGTTCGAATCCATACAATACCATGTTAGTGCATTATAAGAGTGGCAGTGAATGGTGGGATGCTTTGACTGGCTGCTGTCTCTGTGGTCAATAATTCAAAATTAGGTATGGCCTTTTTAGCTTTTCCATAAATGTAAATCAATCACGTGAAAGTTATAGACTATTTTATAACAAAGTTAATATTTTGAGATTGAAATGCCCCTCTCAAATTGTAATATGCATAATTGCCCTCATGATGGCTCAGCAGTAAGTCTGAGGACTTCTGATACTAAAAATAGGGTTTACATACCTGCAGTAAACAGAGCACAATAGCCCATTATGTAGCTTTGTGCTTAACATCAAATAAACAAACAACATACATAAGTATATGATTATGCAGTAATTGAATTTTTAACAGAAAATGAAACATCTAAGATAATTTATCAAAGGTTTGGTTTTATTTGTTAAGTAATTTTCTAGTAGTATAAGCACTTAAATCTCATTATTTGAAAACACAGCAAACATAATAACTATATACTTCAGAATTTAAATCAATTTTTTCAAATTGTAAATTTTTATGAGGTATACAGAATTGGGTGGGCTATGTCTTTTTTTCTGTGACTCTTACTATAAAAATGATCCATTATTTGTGTGTGTGTATGTATGTGTATGTTAGCTTCCATCACCCAGAAATGGCTGACTCAATTACTGTAATTTTTGGTATGGTAACTGAAAACTGCCTGATGGTGTACAAGGACTACCTTATTATTGGATTTGTGCCCAAGAAAGGATATAAAAAAAAGACTTTGAATTAGGCACATTTCCATTTTTTATATACTTTATTTTGCTTCCATTTCCCAAAGTTGACTGGCTCATCACTATAATTTTTAATATGGTAACTAGAAACTGTCTGACAGTTTACATGAACTATTTTGTTTTAAGATTTTTATCTAAAAAGAGAGAGATATAAAATACTCTGAAATTGGGCTTTTTTTATAAACTTTTGGCTCTGAACTTAGATACAAATGAGTTAATTATCACCTTCCACAAAGTAATATAGGCAATTAGAAGGGGAAAGTTGTCATTTATACAATTTTTGATTCCTTAATGGGTACCATCAGCAAGCTGTTATAATGATTCACAGTTTTGTCTTTAATTTTCAAGTGATACTTTGTTAAGAAATTTAATTTTACCATTGTTATATCATTCAGATAAAAACTTTTTTTTATTTGTAATTCTGACCAACAGGATTTGTGAGCATTTTGAAAGTAAAAGTAACTAGGGTAGGCATAAGATATTTTACTTTATGGTTCTTGTTCTGCTCGTGACTTTTGAAATATTTTCCCAACATTATCCAAATCTGTGATCTGACTTATATTTCAGTCATCCCCTGAAGTAATCAGATTCAAAAATGCAATTTAAGTTTTTCTTACATGGAGAATAAAATTATGCTAATGAAATAAAAGTATGAATTATTGCTACCATTGCAGATAGTTGTAATGATATAGGATATTTAATATGTTATTGATTATATTGTTCTCTAAAAAATTTAAAGGCTTTTGTAACTTTGTTTATTATAACTATTTTTTCTTATTGTAGGCTTTTGGCAATGCAAAAACCAACCGTAATGATAATTCCAGCAGGTTTGGCAAGTACATGGATATTGAATTCAGCTTCTTGGTAAGAATGAAGAAAATAAAAAATCATCTTTAGTAAGTTTAGAATTACCTTAAATAAGTCAGTTATTCTCTTCTGTAAAAAAATATATTTATTTTCTTCTGGTTTTTTTATAATGAATTGAATGTTTTAAAATTATTTTAATGTTTTTTTACTTTCTCAGTTGCTAACAATGCCTTGTTAAAATGTAATTTTTTGCAGCCAATTCTCAAATTTATATTTAATCAGATAACTTGTGGCTAGAATAATTTACACATTTATTTTTTAACAAATATATTGTTCCTAAAAAAAGCCTTATAGTTTACCCCACCCATCTCTTAGGGATACTAGTTGACCCACTTGCCTTCTTTCAGGGACATTAGCACTGTTTTAGTTTACCTATCTACCTTCTTTCAGGGACATCATTAATACTATGTCAGTTTACCCTCTTACCTTCTTTTAGGGAAACTAGTACTACATTAATTTATTTCTGTCAGTGAGACTAGTGCAGTTAATGTACTCTCATTAGTGCACTAGTGCCATTAAGTATATACCCTTGTAAGTTGTTGTAATACCACATACATTTATGCATCATTGACACTACTATCATGTTAGTTTATGTTTATCTATTAATGACAATAATACTACCTACTTTTGTATTGGTGATATTTTAACACCACAATGAATTAGCTTAACCTTTAGTTATAGTAGTATTACCACTTTATTAATGTATAAATTTGTATGAAGTTATAATACTGTGATATATATAACTGCTGGATAATTTCTACACCATAAGGGAGCACCACTTGGTGGTCACATCTTGAATTACCTACTGGAAAAATCACGTGTAGTTCATCAAAATCCTGGTGAGAGGAACTTTCATATATTTTACCAATTAGTGATGGGAGCAGATGATGAGTTGCTACAGAAGCTCTTCCTTCGTCGAGAACCTGAGTTGTATTACTACATGAACCAGGTACAAAATAGGTCTTGTTTATACTATTATAAAAGAAAAATTTACACCTAAGGAACTGTTTTTTAAACTAGATTTGCTATGGTACTTAACCAATGTACATAATGTTTCTTATGATTAGTTTATAAGCTGTATGAAAATCAGTGTGTTCTTCCATTGTGACAAATAATTCCAACTGACACTAATGCTTAAATAATCATGTAAGGGAGGTTGAGGATAGATCTGTTGGTGAGAACAATATCTGTTTAAATGATTGTGACAAAGTAGATCCTAGATATAACAAACTGATATTAAGTGGTAAATGTAAATCCTAAATATCATTATTGAAGTACTCATTGAAATTAGAAATTTCAAATAATATTTAATGTTACATCTAATTAACTTGAGCCATTACTTTCTACTCCTAAGTAATTTTTAAATAGTATTACTAATATTAACTTCTGAGCAAACCTATACATAGATCAGAACTAAAAGTCAACCCAGTAATCGGTATAGCTAATTAAAAATACCATTCTTAGATTCTTACTTATAATGATTAAAGTGTGTTTCATGAGTTTTATACCCTAGCTGTTAAGTGATGTTTTCATCAGTAATCCCAATAAAGTTAGATATATTAAGCATTCTAGCCAATACCTTTCATGAAAGTAACATTAAAGAAAGAATAGAATATAACAAACAGAACATGTAAACACTAGTTTATATTATAGATTTCATGTTTCTTTAAGAACTTGATATCAGTATACAGTAAACTTAATGTAATCCTCTCTAACAATGTTTTGTGACAAATGAAATCCCATAAAATGGCTCTGAAAGTGTAACTTTAAAGTAGCTTGACATCTGAGATAAATTATTACAATACATGTTACTGTTTATATGTAGAGTTGGGTGGCAGGATGTTACAGATAATACAGAAAAATCTGATCTTTATGAAAGTGAAAATAGTAGATAACAAGTTAAGCGAGTAATAGAATTGTATGATAAATAGTATGAATATTGATTCTGTAATTTAAATTACAAGTTAAATGTAATAATATCTACATATATATATTAAACATACTATGAGGACAGTCTAACACAACAAATCAGACTTTAACCCCTGTCACTTCACAACACATGTCCCAATGCTGCAAAATCACACTCTGCACTTTAGTGCTGAACATGCATTATAAGAGTGATTATCATATTTTGCCATTCAGTTAGAAAAGAGTTAGTGATGGGTACTGTTGACTAGCTGCCTTTTCTCTAGTCTATCAGCTCAAAAATTAGAACAGATATTTGCAGATAGTTAAAGTTACTTTCACTAGATATTCCTTATAATTGTTGAAGCAAGTATCAAGTATGATAAGCTGATGATAAGTGACTCTTTAGGGTGATACTATTCGTTTTGTTATTGTTTTCTTCATAGAGGTGAAAGACTTTGGTGTTATTGTTGATGTATCATAAGCATTTTTGTACTTATGATGACCATGATGTAAAAGATTTTGCTAAGTGCTTTACACTGACAATTTTCTTGAGACACAGATCTGTCCAGAATCGTTAATCGTTTCCTAAAAATAGAGGAATGTATCCATCTTTCTAAGAGTAGAATAATTAATCCATTGAGTAAAACACAAAAGATATTAAACTTAACACAATCAGTTGAACTGAAGTATTTTGTGTCTTGAATAGCTATAAAAGCAAAACATCAGTAATTGTATATTTTCTGGAATATTTTGTTTTTAATATTGTTTTTTTTTATTTTGTTTCAATCTGATGCACAGTTTTCTTTAGTCAGCTTGTATGATGTGTAAAGAAACTGAATAAACAACCTGTGTACTATTATTGCTATTTAGGGAGGCAGTACTAGAGTGAATGGAATAGATGATGCAGCACAGTTCCAAGTGGTAAAAAGTGCCTTAACAGTCATTGATTTCACAGAAGAGGAAGAAGAAGTAAGTTACAGGTGGATAAAGTTGACTTGTAGCTTGTATTTGATTATATATATATATATAGTCAAAAATAACTGATTAAAGTTATATAAATCAAAGTAGAATTTAGACACAGATCTCAAGTTTTCCGTAAAAATTAATTTGTAGCAATAATTTTCCAGAATTTGATTCTTATTTATGTACACTGTAATGCCTTACGAAAAGGTATGAAGCTGCAAAGGGTATTTCAAGACAGTTTCCATAGTAAATACACATTATTTTTTTCATTCTTGCACCACTCCCTTTAAGCTCTAAGTTAAAGAATTTGCTTTAATATTAAAGTATTTTACAGAGGATATACAGGTGTCAGAAAAGTAATATACATTTGTTAAACTCATGGCTTTGAAGTTTGGAGTAGTCAAATTCATTTTAACTTTTCTAATTTAAAAAAAATGTCTCTCTTATTCAATGATTTTATAAAATATGTATTAAACATTATATTGGCACTATGTTTATCAGTAGAATTTGTTATAACTTATAATTTTAATGATTTTTTTTTGTAGGCTTTATTTACAACTGTTGCATCTGTTTTGCACCTTGGTAATGTGGGTTTTACTGAAAATAATGGTCAAGCCATAATAGCACAAGAAAAATCGGTATCTTCTGTATGCAAGGTTGGTTTCTTTATACAGAAAAACATCACATTTCAGAAAAATAGTTAATTGTTATTTGCGTAACTCAATGATTAAGTGAAATGCTAGGGTTTTTCATCATGTTAAAGAATGTAACATGGATGTGGCCTAGTAGTTGTGTGCTAGACTGTGAAGCTGAGGGTTCATGATTCATGTCCCACTGCTGCAAACTCACACACTGCACATTGGTACTGAGTATGCATAATAAGAGTGTTGATCGTATCCTGCCATTTGATTAGATCAGAGTTAGAGGTGGGTCCTGTTGATTAGCTGCCTTCCCTCTAGTCCTTCAGCTGAAAATTAAGGATGAATATTGCAGGTTGCTCTTGTGTAGTTTTCCACGAAAGTTCTAAAAGAACAAAACAAGTAAAGATACATTTGTTGCAAGCTTTCAGTTATTTAACAGTATCATTTATTGAAGACTTTAATATATGACATCTGAAAGCTTACAATAAACAAAAACTTTAGTGTGGTAAGGAATCCAAGTATTTGGATTTACACATTGTTGAAATATATAATTATAGTTATAATTTTAGATGCCTTTCAGTTTTACTTATGAATGTATTTAATAATTTTTAAAATTTAAACTAAATTATAATGAAGTTTTATTTAATTATAGATTGGAAAAATTACACATTATGTTTACATCAAACTGCATGTTGATGAGACCCCATCAAAATACTTATTTTAATGTGTGTGATTTTTGTAATGAACTGTAGTGTTTACTTTATGACTGTGTTATAAAAGATACATATTTGTCTGGATTTTTTATTTTTATTAGCTTTTAGGATGTCCAGAAGACATGTTGAAAGATGCACTTACTCATCGCACTATTGAAGCTCGTGGAGACTCTGTAAGAATCTCTTTATTTAGTGATTATCATAATATAGTTACTATATCCTTATAAATATATATATATATTTTACACAAAACTATCATAACAGCTAACACGTGGTACTATTAATGCTCAATGTATTGTTTTACTTAAAAATGCAAACTTTAACCATACAAATAACTATTGTATACATTTTGAACAACTGTGTAATTTATTTACACTACCTTTCTACATATAACAATCGATGAACCCAAAGAAGATGGACTTCTATATTGTAATAGCATATTGTTGTTATTTTTAAATTGTTTGTCTTTTTTCCCATTGTTAAAGTGAAAATTATTTTTTTTATAAATACTAGATTCTATTCTTCGACATATGGTTCAGTGTCTGTTTATACAAGTTTATTTAATAAGTTTTAATTTTAGAAATTGTATCCCTTTTTCTGTACTATTGATATGATTAAGTAGATTTTGTTTCACTAAATAAAAATATGTGAAATATGCACATAATTTTCCAAGCTATTCGATCATGCAAATTAAATGTAAATGTTTTTTTTTAATTTTGCAGACATTTCATTATTTTCGAGATTTTATAATAAAATTAATAAGAATAATCATTCATTTTTATTTACAAAAACTGTGCTTTAATGATTTTTCATAAAATAAAACAATTCAAGGAGTGTAACATATACAAAACATAGATAAATTAATGTGTATAATCATAAGTTCCTCCACCACAACATGTTCTGATTAACTAAAGTGTTGTTAAAAAAATTATTACATTTTAACAAGTCAGTTTTAAACACCCCAACCATCATTGTACATATATATATATATATATATATATGTTTACAACTTTTATATTGAGTATCAGTTCTGTATAGGTAGTTCAGTGCACCTCCTGTTTGTAAGTTCTATTATTAATTGAAAGATTTATTATCAGATCATTTTTCAAAGAAGATGGGGCTATAATGGCTGCAATAAGATTCTTACAAAAAAAACTGTAAATTGTTAAAAAGATATGCCATTATTGCATCTTTATTATTACCATTTATTTTTTAAATTGTTATAATAGATTTGGAGGGGCTAAGTCCCTGTAAGTACTCATTAAATGGTTCTCTAATTAACAATTTTGAAACCTTCATTGTTTCATAGCTCAACAGAATTAAGACAATTCCTTATAATATTCAGTTGTGCAGATTTGTGCACTTGTTTTGTAAATGGAAATCTTGTTACAAGGTTCATTCATGAATTTAATTTTTGAAAAAAAGCAGGCTTCTTATAAATACCATCTCTAGGTTGTGAGTCCACTGAACCGGGACCAGGCTATTTATGCCAGAGATGCTCTCTCTAAAGCTGTGTATGAGAGACAGTTTAAATGGTTAGTCAAGAAACTAAATGATTCACTAGAGAATAAGGTGAGTTATTTCCATGTTAATGATTATTCTGACATATTATAACTAGAATATTTAACAGTAGTCTCTGTAATTCACCTTAGTAATGCTTATTTTTACTTTTTTTTTATTATTATTACCTGAAGTTATGTACATTTCACTGTTATGAACTTGCACTAGGATGTAAAGCATATGTTATGAAATAATTAATTTTTGGCTTTTTTCTAATAAGTTGTTTTATTTTTGTCTTAGCCATGCTTTATCTTCTTCAGAATATCTCATTGTTTCTGACTAAGTTTTGTTTATTGTAGTAAAAAGCCAGAAAAGCAACTTTTAAATAATTGTGATGCCATATTTAATTTGAAGTGTTATAACATTTGCACTGTATAATTAAGTATTTGATAAGTAGGATTAATGAAATTTCTTTTCATCAATAAACTTTCAATGAGGTTTTAACTTAATAAAATAAAATTTTCAAAGAAAACCATACTTCAGAAGTGATGATACAATGATTTCTAATTTATAAATGAGGAAATTGATAAGATGAACTTGATAATGTTATGAAAATACTACATTACTTATGTAAAAGTATTATATTATTCATTTGGCCAGAAAATTTAAGAATTATACAATTTAATTTGCAGGATGAGTCCGGGAGGAAAACCTTAATGGGATTACTAGATATATATGGATTCGAAATTTTTAAAAACAATAGGTAAGATGTAATTAAAATTTTTATCTTCTATACTTAAATTATTATTCTTAAAGTGAAAGTTGACTTTTTTTTCTATTTATAACATTTTCATGTTTAAAAAAATAATAATTTGTCTTCTATCAGTTTATAAATAATACTGTGTTAACTCTCTCAACACAGGCTCGGTCAATTTGATTGACCATGTGACATCTTTGTACTCGTTTAAAGTCTTTATAGATTTAATACTTCTAACATCCAATATAGTGTGTATATCTTCACAAAATTTGGCAGTCTTTCAGTTAATATTATAAGTCTTTCACATACAAAAAAAAACATATTTCGTAGTGAAGTATTTTTGATAAACTAAAATAAAGATTTGTCCATGAATATATTGAATATTTACTAGTCCACATGCAAAGTGACTTTCATTTTAAGATTAAAAATACTTTTCATCATCACAGAAATCTGAAATTTCCTTTGTTTGTTTTCAGTAAAACTTTATATTTTATCTGTTATTTTCTCTACCCTATATCTAAATTGGAATTGTCAATTTGACCAACCTCGTAACCACCAAAACAATAATCAAACTAAATCTAAGTTACCTTTTTTCTCTATCTAAATTACTTCGAATTGTAACATGAAACTTCATTCATTTATCCTAAGTAGCTTTAGGCTTGTAACAGTATATATCTGTTTATAATTAAATTTTATTGTTTTATTGCCCTTTGAACCGTGTCTAACTACTATCTGTGCCATTATAACTTGTAGAACACTCGGGGAACATGCAGCTCAAGTTATGCTATTGAATTACATTACTCACGAGTTACTACAAACTTCTCACATGCGTGCCTCATGAAATATTTTTTATTATATATATATTATTATTATTTATTTTACCTAATCTAATCTTAACTTACCTAAAAGATCCCTATTTTTAACTCTAGTTACTTTTATAATAATAAATAAAGAATAAACATGAAAAACAAGAAATAAATTACTCACCCAATCTTCTTTTTTTCTTGCTGTCAATTGTAGATGAAACTTAACCCTAGTTTTTTGTACTAATGGTAGTTATGCACTAAATGATTTTTATTTAATTAAATAATGCACCAAAGAACATAGACTAATAACATGCAAAAAGGAGAAAATTTCCCCTAAATTTCAAAAGTTTTCTGGCTTTCTAACTATGCAACAAGAGTCATTACAAATTCATCCAAGCTAGCCGTTAACTTTCCCATAGGAATGGAGCTTGAACTAACTGAGTGAAATTAACACTTATTTGTTCAGAACACAATGTTATACAATACTTCATTTGATAGATATAAACCTTGAATTTCTATAAGATATAGATAATATATAATTAATCACAAGAGAGAACTATTAACAAAGTCTGAAAGAGAGGATGTGACAGGTAGATATGGGAGGAGGGGTGTGATTTTCTATTTGATAGCTCTGTAACCAAACAAAATTGAAGGCTATAAAAATTGTGGTTTGTCTGAGCGATTACGATATTATAGGGAGCAATTTACATTTAATTTCATACATTTTGAAGGTGTGGTGAATAAAATAGAGAAGTTGCCTAGGGAAAAGATATTACATGCATAACACTAGGGGAAGTTCAAGATTTTTCAAAATAATTCCTTATAGAATTAAGAATTTAAAACTTGTATACCATTAAAATATGGATTATTAAATAAGCATTTATGCCATATTAATTGGTATAACACAAGCAAAAAGAAGTTTAATAAAATTTTGAATGTAAGACACTAAAACCTTGTGTCATGTGCAGTAAAGGATGCCAAGTTCTTTAAATCTTGAGAAAGTTTTAAAGAACTTAATTACATTTAGAGAAACTATATCTTCTTGTAAAAACCAAAGGAGAATTTTTGCACATCATCAAATTTTGACTAAAGCAATTTTCACATGTACTTGCAGTTCCTTTTTAACAGTTTGTAGAAATATGGTACCAGTGTCAGAATTTAAAATATAATCCTTTCACCAATTGTCAAAATAAAAGGGTTTTACTTCTACTTCTTAATAGCATAAATATATTGTTACGTCTCTGGTCGTTTGTTAATTTTCCTGAGAAATCCTTTTCAAAGAACTTCAGCGATACAAGTCCTCTCTTAAATAAAAATAGTTTATTCTTTCTCAATACAACTTTGCAATACACTTAATTTCCACATTTAAACACGCGCTATAATTCTCCACGAACGATTCACGCACTTACTTACTGTCGCACTTGACTCAATTGTCCATTTCTGTCTGTCTGCAATCCTATAACGATTCATTGTCTGGCACACTTATATACAAGAATATCGCACATCTAGCAAACACTCGAGCATTCACGAACTTTCGAGACTATCACGATGTGTTACTAGCATCACGTGACTTCCGCTGTCGTAAAAATATACTGTGTTGTTGTTGGGCTTAGGATTCTTCTACAATAGGTGTCTGTAACTTGTTAGCAATAAATTCAATGATAAATGAACAGCACACACTTCACTTGTTTTTAAAATAATATATATATTTGGAACAAGTTAAACGTATGTACAACAAATTGTTTGCACTATAGAGATTATAAGCATATCATAAACACTATATATATATATATATATATATTGTTCTCTTGTTCTTTTCAAAATTCCACTTAAGCCTATTCAGTTGCTTTAGAATTTCAGTTGACAAGCTGAACTATCTTCTCTATTACTATTGCACTAGTATTTTGTGTGTGATTCACTTACAATTGTAGTACGAGATGCCGTAATCGTTCGGTCTTCTTTATTCTAAATATTCTCTGTTCCTTTTGTCAAAGTGCACTCAGATTGATTCAGTTACTTTAGAACCATACTTTAACAGAATAAATTATTATTCTTATCTCCTTTTCTACTGTTAGTCTTACACTATTAAATGTTAGGCCTATGTTAATCGTTAGGTCCATCACTTCTACATTAGTTAACTTCACACTGAACTTTTCTTGCCTATAACTTTACTCTCTTCTCCTATGGTTTGTATGCTGTTTCTGATCAACTCATACTATTTATTTGTGTATCACTTAGTCGTCTGCCCGCCTTCTAGAAATCTCTGTATTGTCCACATCAGTATATTGCACGTGACAATCGATAATCTCAATGACTTATCCTACAATTGTCTGCTTTTTACTCTTATTATAACAATAACTAAACAGTAATAAAATATTCACTCACAAAAATTAATTAATAAATAATATCTAAACTAAGCAGTCTTTTATATCATGACAACCAGTGTTTTAGTTTTCTTTCCTTTAGTAATTTAAATCTTTCAAAAAACAATGAAATCAGAAGTAAGAAATTATTTTACTGATATAATGTTATTTAATGTTAAGCAAAAAACGTGTTTGATAGAGTTATAATTACAGATTTATTTAGATTAATGAGATTAATTAAATGATAACATGTTTTTGTTGTTGTTTTTTTCAGTTTTGAACAATTTTGTATCAATTATTGCAATGAGAAACTTCAACAACTTTTCATCCAGTTAACCCTAAAATCTGAACAAGAAGAATACAAGAGAGAGGGGATTGAGGTAAAAAAAATCAAATTACTAGTTCATAAAACTTACCAACATTACTAACTTTATATGTAACAGTTCAAACTTGCATAGAACTGTTGCATAGAAAAGTTTTGAAAAATGTAATACATTTGACAGAGCAGGCTTTAAACTTGAACAACTATTATGATTGCCATAAATCAACTGCAATTTGGATATTACTGTGATGGTGTTTCAAACATGTGTAGGTAAGTAATTTGTGTATGTGTGTGTGTGTATACTTCAGGAAGAAAAATATGTTTATATTTCTTTTTTCTTCCTATTTTTAGAGTTACTGTCAATCAAGGATTTCAAGAATGATAGACAAATGTTATGTTCTGTAGATTGATCTGATCAGTAATTATGTTTATTTATTTATTTTACATAGTTATAGTTATGTATTAGATACTTTTTATAGTATGTGTATATCTAGTTGCATCAGTACACTTCTCTGAAGTTTTTAAAACTTATCTTACATATATATATCACTAAGCATAATATTGAGTTATAGCCTTATTTGAGCACTTAATTGTCATTATCAGTGTTTCACAGCTTGTATAACAGTAATATTATTTTGTTATTCTACCACACATATTGTTGTGTGGAAATAATAAAAAGGAAAACTACTACTTAGGAGTGAGTTCAGTTTATAAGCATGTATTATTTCCATGTTTCATGTCTGGACACTAGATGGCAGCATAAATTGTTATATAGAAACCGTTTGTGACTTTTCATTCCACAAATGTGATATCTGCCAAAACAATTTCAGTAAAAAGAAAGAAAAAATAATCTAAATTAATAATCAAGGTAGCAAGGAGATCTAGTAATTATGCAACTGATATATCTGTGTACATGTTATTGATGTCTGAGTTTAAAAACACTATTTTTCTTCAAATTATTAGTGGGGCAAAGCCTGGCAGCTGTATATGTATGTGTGGTATCATACTTCATGGTCTGGGATCTATATGATATCCTACCTGTTAATCGACATGACCCTAGCATGTGGTGGAGTCGATTGTATGCACATGCAGTGAGTTGGGTGAAGTTGGAAGGTTTTGGGTTCTGTAAATATCCCCTTAATGTCAGTCCAGCACTCCAGGGTACTTGTACTATCCTGGAGGAACCATTACAACTTCAATGGCCCCCAGTGTAATCCAAAATTAGAGAAACTGACAAAATTGATACATTAAACAAATGTTCACTTATCAGCCTTCTTCAATGAAATTGCTTAAAAGAGAGAGCGAAGGAAGTAATAAAAACATTTTGCAAAAATTAAGTATAATGTGTGGATAACATTGCCAAAAAGTACAGAAACAAGGTAGGGAGGAATAAACAAAACCAGACAAAAAATCTCTACATTAGTAAGGGTCAATCTTACAAGCTTATGGTTATTAGCTACTGTAAGACTGTATTGCACGATAACTTTTATTCTAACTTGAATTCATGCAACCGACAGGTTTTCAACATTTAGTTGTAGATAAAAAAATTATCAATGGAAAGATTTGGCTACTCATGTAGTGATCTTTGTATGGTTTTGTTTATTCATCCCTACCTTGTTTCTGTACTTTTTGGCATTGTCATTCCTACATCATATTTAATTTTTGCAAAATGTTTTTTATTACTTGTATATATTTAAGCTTTTTTAATGTCTTTTTATCTTCATTGTTTAGCTAGTTTTAGTCATTTTCATAACATCTAACTATTTTAAGTTATTCATTTGTTTAGTACAGTTACAAGTTACACAAAAATTCAAGAAAATTACTTACTTGTTCTTCCATTATAGATAGAATACATTGTTGTCACACTTGTAAAACATCAATTGTTTTCAATTTCAGTGGGAAACAATAGAGTATTTCAACAACAAGATCATTTGTGACTTAATAGAAGAGCAGCATAAAGGTGTTATTTCTGTTCTGGTAAGTTTAGAAGAGTATAAGTGTTCTCTTGATCTGGTGAATCACCTTTATTCTACTCTGTTATCTGTTATATTACTTTAGAGGAATAACATAAACATTTTGTCTCTGTTATTGTCACTTCAGAAGAGCAGCATTAAGGTTTTACATCTGTTCAACTGAGCTCACATTCTTGATGTAGTAACTATATGAAACATAACTTCTTGTTAAGTGTGTTTCTTTTTTATTAACATCAATAAAAAAGTTATATTTTTAATTATGTTAAGTATTCATACAGGAAACATAATAGAAAACATATCATATATTTCTTTGACGTACCTGATGATGACAAAACCTTGTACATTTGCTGTTATGTTAAACTTATATTAAATTTAATAATTAGACTTTGGAGTCTTACAACTTAAATTTACAGTTACACTGTGTAACAATATGACTTTCAGTTTCAACTATTTCTGAGATAGGTGAAACCGAAACTGTGAAAGTCAAATTGTTAATATAATGCTTGGAGACGGCTTGAATGGGTAATGAAGAAAAACTT